CATGACACGGACAGCTAGAAGCATCAGCCGATACAAAAAGGAAAGTCACGCCCAGTGTGCTGTACCGTACACCAGCGAGAAGCAACGCATGAGAAGCCTCGACCCGGACAGTGGCCCTAATGGAGCGCAAAGAAGCTCAAGAGCTCAAGGTAAAGAAGAAGCGTGAATCCCTGATGTGCAGGAGCCTCACTTTTTCGTCCGTCTACTCAAGCAGGACGCGCAGGAGGTGCAATTGCGAAATCAAAAATTGGCGGCAGTCCCAACACATTGTGTGACGGAATGCTGGCTTGTCCGATCCAATCCACGGCGGGGGAAGGGAGGCGAACTAACAGCTGTCCAAACCAATCAGATTCACGTTGCAGCACGGGCAGCGATGACCATGAATGGGGGATGAGAACCATCTTGTGACACACTCCTTGTGGAAGTAGTGCATGCACGCCAAACGGACGAGTGTCTCACCGACCTCAAAAGGCTGCAGACAGCTAGTGCAACTCGTGACTGGCAAAAGGCAGTTGTCGCCAAGAAGATACTCCACTCCCCGTAGCTGGGGTGTAAGCTCGCAGTCCATTGGAGGGGTCATAGGAGCAATGTTCGCCGAGTCGGTTGGAGGAGGGTTGGCACCATCCTGAAAGTGGCGGAGAGGGGCTAAGCCATCAACAACCTCAGCAGGTGCACGGGTAGGGTCAGAACCAGTCTGGGAAAACGCAGGGTGTGAGACAGGCTCCTCCCGGCTAACCAATGGCACACGGGAAGGCGGCGAACTAACCTCAGCCAAAGGGGCAGTCGGAGGCAAGACCTCAGGCGGGCCGGTTGGACCGCTGGCCGTCTCGGCACTGAAATTGACGGTTGGGACCACGGGAGTGGCCGCTGAGTCCGGAGCTCGCTCTGTGCCACTGTGCACGGGCATCGACCTGGACAGCAGTGTGGTGTATGGGCTGCTCGGCTGTGCTCGGCTCCTGTGCCGTGGTGCCATCTATTGCTGGCCCAATCGTGGCATCCGGTACAGGTGATGGGGCAGCAGCGGCTAGCTGCATGACAATGCGTGTGGCCAAGGCGATTCGCAGGTCACCTACAGACGTAGGGATGGTGATCTCATGATTGTTTGCCGGTGTAGTGTCCCCATGCCACTCCTCCATGATGCGCTTCACCAAGCCTGCATCCAGAAACTGCGGATGACTTAGCAAGTATGCAGTGACGCGGCGCCTAGCATTCGCAGGGATAAGTTGGTGTAGAGGCTGCAAGGACTGGAAGGTAGAGGAACGCGAAGCCAAGGTGCTCAGCATAGCTTCCACAGCTGCTGGGGATGGCGGGGACACAAGGCCACCAATGTGAAACCCTGCCGGGAAAGTCACAGTCAGGCTGGGAGTGGGAACCGACGCCGGCACTGCGGGGGGAACATGGTCTCCACCCGACGATGAAGCGCACCCACCAAACATACGCCGCTGTGGCTGGGAAGAACGGTAGGCAGGGACGGGGGGAGCCGGGGGAGCAGGGTGAGCAGGATGACGGGGCGGCGCACGCGCCCTCCCTAAGTCATGGCCCCCCGCATGGGACACACGGGTGCGGTGCTGGTGCGCAGATCTTGGGCGGCCACAGGGTACCGGATAGCCAGCTCTTCGGCCTTGGACCGTCCTCCCCGTTGAACGACTGCGTGAGCGTTCACAATTCTCAAGTGTGGGCGTGCTGGGCCTGGGCCCTAGTTCCCGAGTGGTCCTGCGCCTAGCAAGTGGTGGACGCGAAGAGCTTGGTGTGGTGTGACCAGCAAACATAGCATCTATGCTTCTTTCCGCTATATCCATGGTAAGACGGAGAGCACGCTTAGCTTCATCCTCAAACCGCATGGCGTGAGTGGAGAGAGTGTGTGCCAGTGCCGCCCGGGAAACTCGAACAAAAAAGCTTCGCATAGTGCCAAGCTGAGCGCGGAATACTGGTTTGCAATGGCTTCCCGCTTCAGCACAATACTGTCGCGTCAAGTCGTGAACCTACCGAAGGCATCATGCTGCCGAGTCTGTAGTGCCTACACTGATAGCAACAGACATCGCGTTTGTCTGTACGGCTGAGACTTTAGCATGAGACATGGAGCACTCCTGACTGTGGTTCTTCGCTCTTTTCTGAAGCTGCAATAGACTTGGGAAGGGCAACACAGCACGCCTCCCGCAGGCATACAATGCACGGAACTAGAGGACCAATGTGCAGCAGTAAAATAAAGCGTGCAGAACAAAACTCTTATCCAGTTGAGTGGATGAGCTGTCATGTTCCTACGCACGCGTGCCTGCGGGGAGCACTCAGCATGTCAGCAACTCATGCGTCCCGGCATGCAGAATGGTGACCAACTTACGCGAAAGCCAATTGAAGCCTCAGCTGCACGAACTTCACAGCCCGACCACATGCCTGCTGAAAGCTTTCCAAAGAGCTCTGTATGCTACAGTCGGAATACCTGGTAGATGGAGCCAGCTGGAAGGACACTCGGCAGGTTGGGATGCGGTCGATTGTAGGTGATCCAGAAAAATTATGCCGACTTGTGTCCTCCCGGGCTTGCATCTCACAGCTACAAATTGGTTCGCGGACTTCGAAGAGGACTTCGACAAAGTTATGCAAATCTCCAGAAGACCAAGGAGCCTCAGACTTACATCCCCTGACAGACCTAGAACTTGTCATCCCCTCGAACCGCGAAGACTGGCAACTCAGTTCTGATCCGCTCGCCAATACTAGCACTGCCGTGCGCACTGAGAATGCTACAATGCACACTGTCTGCAAATTTGATCAACTGTTCGAGCAGCAAGGCAGGTCAGCTGAAGCTCAAACGTCAGAGGCGAGACCTCTGCCATATGGCAACACTGACTTCCACTGAAAGCCTGGTCTAATCAGTTTTACACGGCGGAAAAACAAGTACTAGCGATACTAGATGTCTCAACGCAGAGATTACAACAGCGACCTTCGCCACGAGGCCTAGCCCCAAGGGAACTGCCCATCACCAATCAATCCATCTGTCTACCACTTGCAAACTTCGAGAGCCGCCCTCAGTTTCCATTGACTGCAAGAGCAGCCAGCGGCCACATGAAATTAGTAATGCTTGCTGCTGGGGCAAATGCTGCCGAATGTACGCGAAGTATCATGCTCCGGCACGCAACCTCAATCAAAGTTGTCTCGCATAGTATTATCGCTCTGAGCCTGTGAGAGCACGGCGCGCCCTTCGTACAGGAATGCATGCAGCCACAGCAACACATGTGTCGATGATGGCGCCCTGAATGGGCAGAGAATGACGATGAGGGTACTATCGCCCTAGCAGGCGGGAAAGCAGGGAGGGTGGGGGGTGCTCATCGGGACAAAGTCCCTTAGTACCGCCCCCGGGGTCCACACCCACCCTGAATGCCCCTGACCCGAAACGACTGCTAGGCCCGGGGGGGTAGGAGTAGGAGGATGGAAGTCGGAGTCGGACTGGGAGTATCAGCAGGAGCAGTAGTAGCGTGGTGGTGGTGGTGGTGGTGGTGGTGGCAGGAATAGGACGAGGAGGGGGAGGAATTAGGAGCGGGAGCAGTCGCAGTGCAGGAGCAGCGGCAGCAAAAACAAAGTAATGAATCAAAAATAATGGTAGTAGCGATCGTAATCGTAGTCGCCGTCTTCGTCGTCAGTGTGGCAGAGCGCCTAACATGTGGACCCTGATGTCCGAAGTCAAGTTGCGCCCTGAAAGCCCTCATCAACGATCGCCGCGCGGACGTATAGCCGGGCCGTAGGGGCGTGGATGCCTTGGTAAGCCACACCCAACTGGCAACTTTCCTCCCGAAAGGCGTTTTGGGCCTCTTCAGCATAGAACTCTAGTAGAGTTTACCATGGTTGCCCATCACGCCTCGAAGTTAGATCATCCTCCGGGATGAAACTCGGTCCAGCACTACTGCCACTGTCGGCGCGTCATCAGCCAGCTCTTCAATCCCTGGCAGGGCTTCGGAATTCGGACATCGACGACGGAGCTATACAACGCCTCCTGCCCAGCAGCCTGGAACACAAATAGTAAATAGTGCATACCACCGCGGTGCTTTGAGTGGTCAGGGCTTCCTACACGCTGCGGGATTGTCGTGGCAGTTCCCGTGGAGGTCATGGGCGCAGAGGTCGTCCTGCCTCTTTTCGCTTCCTTCGACTGCTAGTACTAGTCTTGTGTAGTAGAGTACCTCCGATTCGTCGTCATCCTCGCTTCATCCGCTTATCACTACCTCTTACCGACTTTCCTGCTTCTTCCTGCTGCCTAAAACAGCAAAGGCAGCAATGACAAATACGGCTGCCTCTAGTTGCTACAGCGATTTTGACTGGCAGTGCCACCAGCAGCTACCCCTGTCACTACTCCTACCGCGACGTGTATCAAGACTGCCACTACCAAGTAAAGCTCAGAAGAGGCAACCACAGAAACCAGGCAAAACAACAAGTGTCACCATCACTGCCACCATAATTCCCCAGAGGCCCTGCCAAACTTTTCCGGGCAGACGGCAGGTGGACTGTTCAGGAGGACTCGGCGGGTCGAAGCGTGGGTGTTGGGGGTTCCGGAGTTCCTCGAGTTTTGAAACGATACCTCCCATCACATTGGAAACTGCAACAACAACATGACCTGAGCTTCACGGGGCTCTCACTGCAACCCGTATCAGCCAAGCACCAAGATCAGGAAACTCTACCAGGCCTCAAGGCAGACCTGAATCCTGAATTCAAGCAATCGGAAGACCCCACCAAGCCCCACCACCACCAACATAATCCTGAGGGAGTGAAGAGTAACCCGAGACAGTCACAGTCCTTTCATAAAGACACTGCGCACATCGATTTCCCAGAAGTGAGGGACCCCAGTCGAACTGTGCTACCATCACCTTCATGAGTCATGAAGTTTACAATGACATTCATAGCCGCAAGCATAAAGGGCATCATACGAATGTCCATAAGTTCATGAGAAGTTGAAGAAGAAGAAGAAGAGTGGTACTCATCATGATCACAACTACACTCGCTCTCAAACGAAGAAGTTCCTAGACGGATTCGATCTTTGGCAGCGGCGTATCGTCGCGAAGCCTGCGTCGCGCAACCTCCGAACGCTTGGGCTGGAGCAAATACCGCAAGGGGGCGAGAGGGGGGGCGTCTGAGTCAGAAGCATCTTCACGCTCCCAGATTCGGGACCAGGCTTGGGTCTGCAAGATTGTGGAATTGTTGAAAATAACCAGTCGGTTTTGAATTGGTTCGGCAGCAGTCCTCCAAGGAGAGGGGCCGGCATTCACTTGCCGTCTCGGGCAGCTTTTGCTTGCTACAACCACTGCTAAGGCAACGATAATGTCCATGACGACAACTACATCAGCACTGAGCGCACAGTGGCTGCAATGCCACAACAAGGCAACGAGTGCGGGGTCACAAACAGGACATCGACAGGCATCCCATCTTTCCACCAAGGCTTGAACCATGAGGTCGCCGTTGATCTGAGAGTTGCCGGGCGACAGGGACAGGGCTTGCTGGAATATCTTGACCTCAGGCGAAGCACAGCATTGACCGCAGCAGCTTCACGGCAGACTCAGCCCTGTAGCACACTGCACATGAAGCCCAGGCATGCAAAGCCATGGTGGCGAGGCACCGAGCACCACTCTTTTGAGCTGCGCTGCTTCACATTCTCCGTCAGAATGCAATAAATAAAGCCTCAACCACAGGCAGGCGCTTGTCCACTTCGTGGCAGCGCTGTCAGGCATCGGCTACGGCTACGGATCTGCAAACGACTCCGGGCTCCACAGTCCAAATCGAAACTTTGGGAGTCTGACGGCTTTGCAGGTTGGGGCTTCTGGGAATAACAGGTCCAGTCTACTCTAGCTTCGGGTCCCAAGAAAACCTCTTGTTGTGCGCGAGTACGAAATCTGATGCAGAACAAACTGATCTTGTCTGGTTCTTCTGCAGTTTCCCGCCAGTCGAGTGCTTAGGCATGACCGGGGGTGGCTACAGCGGGCGGTCTGGCGAATCTGAATGATGCAGAGAGGCTTTGGGCTTTGGGAGGGCGCGTCAGGTAAAGTCCAGGACCTCCGGTGCCGTCAGCGGGTTCATGTCTCCACCTGCCCAGGCACAAAGATCAAGTCTTGTCACGGCTCTGACCGAAAAACGCCCACACCCCAGACTGCAAACCCTGCAGCCCAAGACATTGATTGATCTATTCATTCGCACGTGTCTGCGTCTTCGCTCGCTGGCGTGTCCACTGCACGATGGTTTGGGATCTGCAGGACTTTGTCCTAGGATACCCCTGAATGATGCAGAGACGCTCGCACAGCGCTTGTCCATAGGTACTGTATGTGCAGACGGGCTGGCTCTTCATCTGCAGGCGTCCTTGCTCTCTGTCCGTGTTCCCGGCAACTGCGCAAGTTAGAACCGTGCTCCCTGCATAGGCCCCATGCCCCCAAACCACCCAAACGAAAGTTCCAAGCTCCAGGCCTCTGAGCTCCAGGACCTCCTCCTCCAGCTTCACGATGCGCTCCTGGAGCGCCTCCGCAGGTGGAGGCAGCCGAGCAGCTGCAAGAAAAAGCTGAGTATAAGGATGGCACTTCGAAATTACTCCTGGGTCCTGGCCGCGGATAAGAGGCTATTGGTTTGCAAGGCTGCCGTTTCTGCACGAGCGGGGACTCTCTCGAACTTCCCGGTACTTAAACCGACGCTTGGTAGCGCACCAAGAGCGATCAAACCCATAATGCCGAAGCCAGGCCTGTGTCTGCTTCTGCGAGTTGGCCTCCATCTCGCTGATTTTATCCTATCGAAGTGGGACAGACGGGCTGACAGGAAGCCATCTTGCCTGCAGCCCTGAAAACTTTTGGTCTTTGCGTGACCGCTTGCATGTACCTATTCCAGTCTACCCCGCGCATCTGCCTACCTGCTAGCCTGTCGTGTCTCTCTACCTAGCCTCCATACCATCACAATTACTTGCGAATCGAAGCCCGATGTAACAAGACGACTGAAGATTCTGGAGACGTATTCGAGGGTGTGAAAGCCAAAGCCCATGTTATTCTCTGGAACCCAAAGAAACAGGCATTCGCGGGATCATGCCTCTCTCGCCTGGCCAACCGGCCCACGGGCCCTGGAACCCTACCTTAAAGACCCTTTGGATCGAAAGCCCCCACCAGCAGAGCAGAGATGTGCATGCCCGCGTTGGCTTCCAGGTGTGTATGCATCTGCTTGGCCAGCACCTGCGGGCAATGCCCATCAGCTGACGGGGAATACTGGAACTTGAGAGTCTGAGCAAGACAACATGGCCGGGAAATACGGACAAAGATGAACTTGATCGAAGTCCCGGCCTCTTCATTCCGATTACCCGGAGGCTCTATCAGGCGTAGGATGACACCTACTATCTAGTAATAGTACTTGTAAATAGAATCCTCGGGCCAACATCGGACAAGAAGCTCTCTCGCCGCAGATCTTGCATATCAGGGACTTGGCTTCGCATTCTATCCTCAGCTGGAAACAAACAGGTCGGGCGCTGGAAGGCCTGGCCGTGCCAGTGTCTAGACCCGACCACTGACCTTCCGACTGAGAAAAGAAGCCTTGAACCACAAACCCTGAATTTGCCAGCAGGGCTTCTGATGTTGTGGCATCAAGTGGAGGCCAATGGCTCCGCCGCAGTCCTGGCAGCGAACCTGCGCAAGACAGAATTTGCACGACTACAGGTCGTGGAACCTTGCCTAAACCGCCTCCCGAAAGCTTCAAAACCTCAAGGTCTGGAAAGCTCCTCAACACGAGTTGGTTTAGCACCGTCGGGCATTGAGAGTTTGAGTTTCAGTCCTACTGCTGTCTTCCGATTCGCACGATGAGGGGTCGTGTGCTGAGTTCAGGAATTCGACTCGCCTTGCGGTGTGGACAGATCCGGAGGTGACTTCGCTTGTCTACCAGGGGAAAAGTCGCACAGCAGCCGTTCGGGCACCTGAGCGATGCTGTGGAAAACATCCGAGAGCTCTGTGGGCAAAGAGTTGGCGGGAGTTGGAGTTCGATATCTTCCGGCTGGGCACTTAGGGCGGCACTGCAACTGGCAACTCCGAAATCCACTACAACCACCGCCACCATTACTAACCCACCACCTGCACAACCACCCCAACCACCACCACCACCACCACCACCACCACCACCACCACCACCACCACAAACCCGTCAGTCTGCTAGGTCTTTCAAAACCTCAAACCACTGACGCACGGCTTGGACTCCCTCGCTTCGCGTGAAACGAAACCACCATTACCACCATCATCACCACCACACCCCCACCACCGCCACCACCGCCATCACCACCAACACTACCACCTCGCTAACAACATCATCACCATCGCTCAGGATCATCATAGGCAAAATTGCCACCATCATCGCCTTCCACGTCACTGTCACCGTTGCCAACTACATATCATTCAAGTCTAGTGTCGTCAACGACATCATCACTGCCGTGACGATCATCGGGTCCATATCGCCGTCATCGTCACAACCATCACAACTATCACGATCCACAACATCCTCAGTATCGTTGGCCATTGCCATGATCAGCAGGCATGGACTGGTTCACGTCCAAACTCGTCCAGGACACTTGATCTTGAGGTTCATGATCTTCACCCGGTCTCTGTTCCTGGGCGGATTTGGCTCGTGGGGTCGCTCTATGCCTGAATCTCTGTCATACAGGATGGATTGGCTCATCGGCCAACAATAGAACTCCTCTGACAGACGTTGCACCAGGTTTCGAAGGCTGGATCTCACCGCCCTGCCGGCAAACGGGGCACTCCTGGAGCGCTGCCATACGACTTGGTGATGCAACAAAGGGATTCGGGAACGCGTAGCTCAGTTCCAGCTACTGGCATTCAGAGCATGTGGGAAACCAGCTCGCAGATGGCTGCCCTTGTTTTCGGTCGACACGGCTGCTATTCAGAATTATTACAGACTGGGTACAAATGCTTTTGCAGGGTGCTTGCTTGGTCGGTCCATTCCTTGGGCCAGCTTCCACAACATGCTGCATTGAACGACTGCTGGCACAAGTTCATGGCTTGCCATGCAAGTTGGAGCCAAACCTGACGCCAGCCCAGCCATCTTCTCGAGAAGTCTGACATTAATCCCGACCTTCGCAACCACCGAGATGTTCGAGAAGCCCTGGGCTTTGGATCCCCGACTTGCTCAGCCTCCTTCTGGCCGTAGACCTTGTTCCAACAAAGCTCGCAGAAGAGCTTCGTGCATGCCTGGCAAGGCCGAACCAGGCGCGTACCCGCAGGCCAAGTGCTTCGATCTCCTGTAGGTGGCTTGCAAGTGGCCTGCTGAACACAATAGGCAACATGCAAGCAGGGCCGCCAGGCCCGTTTCAACCTGAGGCTGCTGCATCGTGGAAGACGGCAGCTCGACAAACGCATTTGCAGACGGGGCATTCGTATTCCTGAGATGGCCAGTGAGGTGTTGTGCTTTCGGCACGACGTGTGTGTGCGTGTGTGTACTAATGCTGCATGTGTAATGATCTTTCCCTCAGACTTTCTGCAGACTCCCGAATGACAGGCAAGTTGACAGAGAGAGACGCCAGTCAGTACACGCACACGTTCCGGTCATTCCGGCATTACATCTTGTCCAAAGGACAGGACTGCCGCTGCGTACGCTTACCTGAGAGTTGATGTAGCTGAAGCATGTTGCCGCCTTTTTCCTCCGAGTACCCCCAAGCCCGGTATGTGAATTCTTGCCCCCGTAAGCCGTACGCCTTCACTCCCTTGGCCAGGGGGCCATGGCCTGATCTGGGCTCAGCCACCTCGGATATCACACCCGAACCCACACAGTACCGGAACTAAAACATGATCTTGATCCCCTTGCCAAAACCTGGCAGCATCTACCCAGAACTCGATTGAAGCTGCAGCACTTACCGCCCGACCATGCAAGGCCGCCTGTCTCCCTCAAGAAGATATGACGTCGGAATACCTCCGAAAGAGAACGAAGCCCCTCGACCTGCAATACTCTGGACCAACAGGAATCCAAAAGCTTGTATGCATCCAGGCCCTACATGCTACGGCCAGAAAAACGTGTGAGAACTGAAGAGGATGACCCAGAACACGTAGCACAGCTCTGAGGCACTCCTCGTCATGCCCCTGGTCGAGTTCCTTTCTGGTGGTTCGGGCTGCAAGTGGACATGGAATTTATGTTAGCAGTGGGCTGCGATGCTACATGCAGACTCCGCCCAGACTCGTCAAAGCAGAAGAAAACAAGGTCTAAAAGGTCTGACCCATGCATCGGAGAAGTCACGACATCACTCCCTCGACGTCGCCCGTAGTCCGCTGTCAATCGCCTCCCCTCGACGCAGCATGGCTCCCTCAACCCATTTTAAAATAGAACCTGCCCGTCGACTTGACTTGCTCCTATTCAGCGCCTCGACATCTTTCACGCCCTCCTCCTGCCCCTAGCCCTAGGCCCTAGGCAAGGACCGATCGACTGCGGATTAACTGCCGGTCGACTCACGTGCTCGTTCGCGTCTGGAGACTTCGTCTGGAATCTGTGCCAA